AACAAAATTGAATGTACACTACCTGAGGATGCTTCCACATGACTTTCATCTTTCCTGGCCCTATGGCTCTTGAAAAGAAGATTTTTAAATGTTGACATTATTTTTTCACTAATTCCTAATTATCTCCCCTTGAAAGAGGGTGTGGCCCTTTCATTTGAACAAACTTGAATCCCCTTTACCCAAGGATACTTTGTAGCAAGTTTGGTTGAAATTGGCCCAGTGGTTCTTGAGAAGAAGTCGAAAATGTGAAAAGTTTACAGACAGACAGACGGACGCCGGACAAAATGTGATCAGAAAAGCTCACTTGAGCTTTCAGCTCAGGTGAGCTAAAAACAAAATTAGCTGACAGACAAAGCAATGTTGCCCAAGAATTTCAAAAATCTGGTAAAAATACCCTTGCTTATTGTAGTGTGCTAGACCTGAGTGATCTCCTTGGGATCATACTTGGTTTTCCCAAGCCTTAGAGGGATGATAATGAATGCAAAATATACAAATACAATGAGCACTTGCCCATTATATAAGGTATTCAATATACCGATACGTCACTTGCCTAGTGCTACAATTCAGTACATGGCTATACATTGTATAACTTTGCTATTTGCCACTTGTCACTAATTAAAACAAGTCACCTTGGCCCTCTGTGATTCTTTGTTTTCTTTGATAAAGTATAAAACAACTTTATCGAGTCTCTTGTCAACCTTGATTTTACCTGATAAAAAGTCATCCACTGTCAGACAGATCACCTCATTTTAAACACACTGTGTACAAATTCAACTTTTGATATTAAATATATTAATAATCTTTATGTCAATCTTTTATATTGATTTTCGGGCAAGAATCTGACTTTGAGCATGCTTTGCTCATTTAAACCAAACATTCATTTTTATTTTGTTTCTATAAATATAATATTCTTTCTTGTATTCTCATTCAATCGAATAACCTGTTAATTTAAAATTATATACAAGGATTTCTTGATTAACACAATCTAGCAAAGGGGAATAACTCTCATTTGCCTCACTTATTACAATTGTGTACTAGTGTCTGCCTCCTAGATACTCAGGAGCAAAGAAAGGGAACATTTACTTATCATAATATTTAATACATTTACATTGATATCATTGCATTTAGTTTGTTTGCTAAGTAATCAGAGGTAGAGGAGAAGATTTTCAAAGCATTAATGCATTTTTACTAATTAATCAATAGAACCCCGCCCAAACACAAGAACCCCTGACCCAGGGGCCATGAAATTCACAATTTTAGAAAAGGCACTCTTCATCGTCATAACTATGTACCTAGTTCATTGGCTTAATACCCAGGAGCAGAGGAGAAGATTTTTGAAGAATTAATGCATTTTCACTATGTAACCTTTGGAGCCCCTCCCTAACACCAGAACCCCTCACCCTGGGGCCATGAATTTCACAATTTTGGTAGAGGGCTCAATGTTGATTACAATCATGCCAACAGTTTGACTGCTTGATGTCCAGGAGTAAAGAAGAAGATTTTTAAAAATTGCATTAAATTTAGTGGTTTAGGCCCCACCCCTCAGGCCCCAGGGGGGCAGGGACCATGAAATTCACAAATTTTGTTTCCCTTCACCCATAGATGCTATATGCCAAAATTGGTTAAAATTGGTTAAAATTGGTTAAATGGTTTCAGAGAAGAAGCTGAAAATGTTCAATTGTTAATGCACGTCGCACTACGCATGACGCACTCCAACGGATGAAAACAGATACATGTAGCAATAGGTCACCTGAGTAAACTCAGGTGACCTAAAAAGAGATCCATGGGCCTTGATGGTCACCTGAGTATCACAAGGTTCTCAGACTACGACACTATAGCCCCACATGGAACTAGAACTCTGCACTAATGTGACAAAATCTTAATTTAGTGAGTACTCTTTCAGAATCATGCAACTCGCCTGCTTAAGTTCAGGACTTAGGAAGAAGCAACTTAACTTACCCCCAACCTTGGGCCTGATCCCTGGACAAGGGAGACATGAAATTAATCATTTTTGTAAAGTGCTAATTGCCCATTATGTTCATGCAAATAATTTGCTTGTTATATGCTTATGAGTAAAGATTAAGTGAAGATTAAAAAAAAATATAATGCATTTTCAATAAATGGCCAACTAAGTCCCACCCTGAAGCCTGAACCCTTGGGCCATGAATTTCACTGTTTTGATGAAGAGTTCATTCATAATTAAAATCTTGCCAACAGTTTGCCTGTTAGAGCCCTTGAGTAATGATAAAGAAGATTGTATTAATTTTGATGGTTTTGACCCACTCCTCTGGCCCCAGGGAGGCAGAGATCATGGAATTCATAATTTTTGTTCCCTTGGCTCATAGATGCTTTACACTGTTACACCAAAATGGGTTGAAAAATAGGTGAACATTTTCAACAAATTATATGGTTCTTCTTTTTTCTGTTCATAAAATACCAGGAATTTCCATTATGGTGTCAATGAAATTTTCCTGTACTTCACATTAAAAAAAACTTTATTTTGGTATCATTTTTGACTTGTTTTCTTTAAGTCCATGCAATACCTAAGATACCAGTTTTATTATTTGAATACTTTGCAGCATTATTTCATGGAAGATTTGAATGTGTCAAGGAATGTATTATTTTACTTGCGCAATTGTGAAAAAAAAATTTTGCCATTTTATAGTGGTTTCTTTTTTGATATTTCATTGAAAGAAAACACCTACATACTTAATTTTCTGCAATGCCATGTTTTTCTTCAAATATATATCTTTGGATTGGTCATGAAAAAATTGATTCCAATATGAAAAAGCATTGCAAATTAAATGGAATTTGGAAATCTGTAGACACTTTTTAATTACTTGATCTTTTCCTGAAGCTTTTATAACTAAAAAAAATCCTCTTGGAAACAGAGTATTTGGGGTTACACCAATTTATCTCTTTTTCTTGACAATTTGAAGATTTTTCTCAAGATTTATATTAATATCCCTCGACAGTGTTTGACATATTTCTTTAAATTTCAGGGTGTTTCAGTAAGGTTTTGTTTTCAGCCAACAGCCCTGAGCATCAACTTTTAATTTCATCTGTGTCTAGCATTTTATTCTTTTATTATGTTTATGGAAGCATAGGATAACATTCAATGATCATTTTACATGGGAATATACATAGGCAAGGACACCTATAACAGGTAGTAGGGAATCATATTCCAGCAATTTTTGAAGTACATACATAAATACTTAATTGATAGTAGTAATTATTGAATCTTGCTAAAAAATAAATTCAATAAATATTTGTTTGTATAAATTGCTTTTATTTCTAATTGCTTTAAGTTTTCAAAAAATCTAAAACAGGTTAAACTTCGTTTTATTGTGTTTCACACTTACATGAGAGTGTTAAGGATAAAAACTACTCATGACAACTTATGCCAAAAAATAAAAAAATAAAAAAATGATAATCACAAAGAAACTGCATGGCAAATGAGTTTTTCTTTTATGTATATTTAGCTTATACACAAATTTTATACACTTCTTGCTGAATTCATTTCATTTATACACTTCTTGCTGAATTCATTTCAAAGTTTATCTGTAGTTACTTTTAATATGTTTCTTATATTAATAAGTTTCTCTTGATACTAAATCACACACTGTGAACTATTCCATTGATGAGTATATTTCTGTAAACATTTTTCTGTGAATAGGGTGTGAGAGTGTGAAGGGGGGGGGGGGCATTTTATTACTTTTCATGTCAAAAGCTGGTCTGAAAGTTGCTTAATTGCTTTAGGACAGAAAATGAATACAGGTAGAATATAATAAACTAGACATTATTGAGATGGTGACCATCTCAAAGGGCCCCGTTCTTAGCGAAGGACACTAGGAAGAGAGACCTTTATCCACAGGCACTGTACCCTTTAGGGGAAGTTTGAGCCTGGGGGTAATGGGAGAAATTATGCTCTAGAAAAGAATTTTATGGCAATTTGTTATAACCTTGACCACTAGCTAACTTAGAAACTTCGCTCAAGCTGGACACTGGAAACCCTCTACCCAAGAGCACTCTACATGTGAAGTTTTAACCTGACTGGGCCAAAGTGAGAGAAAATATGCTCTGGACAAGGGTTTTATTGAGAGGTTTTATGACCTTGACATGATCAAGGAAATTGGTTCAAGGTCATGTCACACCCTTTACCCACTGGCTTGACTGGGCCAAGGAGAGAGAAAATATGCTTGGGACAAATGAAATTGGACAGACAGACAGCAGAAAAGATGGATGGACGACAGACTGACCATTATGGGGCACCCACAGAAAGGGGCCCTAAAAATTTTAGGGAGGAAATTTAAAGGTTAACGTTGCATATGACAGGAAGTCGCTAAATACATGTGGTGGCTATGACAGGCTTGACTGTAAAGGAACTCTTCTTCTCAATAACAGAAAAGCTATAATAATAGACGACCAGTCATAAGAGTTAAACTCTCTTTGTCAGTGCAATGTTCATTTTTCTCACTATATCCTTTCTTTCCTTTGTAACTTCCCTGAAAATATTTTAAACCTTCAAACGCTTTCAGACTATTTTATACAGTTCCTGTACTGCCAATTATGAGGCATGAAAGAAAACATACTCAGTGTATTCTACTTGTGTAGCAAGTTTTCTTTAAATTGGGCCAAAACTGTTGGAGTAGTGTTTTTAAAGAATTTCTCAAAAAAAACTGTAGGAACAGTATACATAGCATTTCTGAAAGAATTTCACAGAAATTTCTATTTTTAATAACCATGACACTGCTTAATATCAAAAGCTGATCCATAAAATTATATATCTTATTGTTGTCAATTTATCAAGTTATATGTGCATTTATAGCATTTTGAATAAAATTCTTTAATTAATTCTATTATTAGTAACCATAGCAACACTGTTTCTCAAATCAAAATCAGATGAATAGAATTATATGTATGTTGGGGTAGTCAACTCAGCAAGTATACTATTAACAACAAGTATATATTATAATATTATTGAAATCATTTTCCCTTACCTTTTGGTCTTGTGTCAGTGAGTTTTTGGTCCATTCCATTATGTTTAACTTCATGGTCTTTAGATATCTGTAAAATGCATGCATTAAAATAGTTAAAGTACTGTGAACAATTGCACTGTTTCGCTGCCTACCTACAGGTCAATTTTCAAAAGTTGTCATAATTGAATTTTATTCTTTATTTTTTTTTTTGGATATTTACCGGTATATTTACGGGTATATGGAAAAAAAAAAAAAGAATTTTGAATTAATTTGAAAAAAAAAAGAGAGATAGTTCTATTTTTTTGGTAAATTTTACAAATTTCTCTTCAGAAATCAATGGAAAAAGGATATTTTCAAAACATATTTCCCAGGGAAATGTTTCACAGGGGAACACATCTTTACAGACCAAAACACTGCAAAAATGACCATTTTATGATCATTTCAAATATATTCAAAACTACAAAATTTAAATTAATTAATTTGATATAATTGATTTTATATAAGTTACACATAATGAAATATTGTGGCCATTTATCCAAATCCATGAATATTTTTAAATGTGGTTCCCTTTAAAGTCTGATTTTAATGGACAAAATGCTATACCCCCTTTTCAAAAAGAGTTGTCATCAAGAGCAAAAATTTAATTGACTCTGGTATTGGAATTAATTGATCAATTATTAATTAATAATACTATTTATTAATAATTGTATATATATAATTATCAATTACTAATGAAACCTAAGTTGCATTAAAAAAAACTATATTATTTAGCAAAATTGCCAAAAGTTTAATTATATCCATGTAAAATGTAGGTGGGAATCTTGAGTTTCCATGAACAGTTCTTTCACACTTTGTGAAAATCAATTCATCTATATTAGGACTTTAAAAACATAGTACATGTATATTCTTAGTACTACTTGACAGAATTCAAATACGCAGTATATTAAAAACCTCAAAATACTGTAAACTAATTATAACATATGAATTTTTTTTATCAAATATAAGCCAATTTAAAATCTGCAACAAGTGATAGAGGTTTCCTGTTACAGAAATCTTTGTATATTATTTTTGCAGTTATTAATAAACATGAGCTGGAATTTCGTGTCAATCTCACACACATTTCTCACAAACATTTACAGTATGCCTTCTGTAGTCATATCTGTTTCTAGGCACACAGTTTCCTAAAACCATATATATTATGTTTTGGTCAGACCTGACTCAAGAATGCTAGTGAATAAAATTTTTAGATGACCCCACATTTATCATGCTAGATGTGAGCTAGTAATTTATAATTATCCTCCCATTTAACATTAATCAATGATGTATAATCATAGGCTTCTAGCTGAGAATAAAATGATGTGTACAAAGAGAACAATATAAAACACTGAAGATTTATATATTTATGCTAACCTCTCAAGTAATATGGAATACATACATGTATACCACATCTTTCCTTTAATTTCACACATTCTTGTTTTATTTTGAGTTTTGGGAATATAATTTTAAACTTCTCAGTAAAAATTTCTACAAAAGTGTAGTGTATTTTAGGGCTATTTCACATTTCACCTAAGAGGTTCTCTAATACATCATCAACAACACTTTGATCTACAGACCCATTGTGAATGGCTGCATGTGATATAAGTGTGGTAAACTGTACAGTATGAAATATTACTATTTCTGTGTAATTCATGAGTGTGGTTATAACTGTGCAATCCTTACTGGTTCAAAAGTTCGTCTGTGATAAGAGTGTGGTTATAACTGCAATATCATATCTTACTGGTTCTATAGCTCATCTATCATGTGATATAAGTGTAGTTTACTATGTAATATCGTATCTTACTGATTCTATAGTTCATCTATCATGTGATATGAGTGTTGTTAACTGTGCAATATCATATCTTACTGGTTCTATAAGTTCATCTATCATGTGATAAGAGTGTGGTTAACTATGCAATATCATATCTTACTGGTTCTATAAGTTCATCTATCATGTGATATGAGTGTTGTTAACTGTGCAATATCATATCTTACTGGTTCTATAAGTTCATCTATCATGTGATATGAGTGTTGTTAACTATGCAATATCATATCTTACTGGTTCTATAAGTTCATCTATCATGTGATATGAGTGTTGTTAACTGTGCAATATCAAATATTACTGGGTCTATAGTTTATCTATCATGTGATATGAGTGTAGTTTACTGTGCAATATCATATCTTACTGGTTCTATAAGTTCATCTATCATGTGATATGAGTGTTGTTAACTGTGCAATATCAAATATTACTGGTTCTATAGTTTATCTATCATGTGATATGAGTGTAGTTTACTGTGCAATATCAATCCTTACTAGTTCTATAGTTCATCTATCATGTGATATGAGTTTTGTTAACTGTGCAATATCAAATATTACTGGTTCTATAGTTCATCTATCATGTGATATAAATGTAGTTTACTGTGCAATATCAAATCTTACTGGTTCTATAGCTCATCTATCATCTGATAAATGTGTGGTTTGCTGTGTAATATCAAATCTTACGGGTTCTATAGCTCATCTATTATGTGATATGTATGCAATGTCAAATCTAACTGATTCTATAGTTCATCTATCATGTGATATGAGTGTGGTTTACTGTGCAGTATCAAATTTTACTGGTTCTATAGTTCATCTATCATGTGATAAGAGTGTGGTTAACTGTGCAATATCATATCTTACTGGTTCTATAGTTCATCTATCATGTGATAAGAGTGTAGTTTACTGTGCAACATCAAATCTTACTGGTTCTGTAGTTCATCTACAGCAGTGGTCTCTAACAAGGGACCAAATTCTTTGGTGTCAAAGTCCAAAGCTGGATGTCTCATAAGTTCAGGTGAACTGGAAAAAGAATATTAGATATATATGAATCAATCTGTTCCACACATTCTCCACTTACATCTTATCTTATTAACTGGGTAATTACTGCTGATCACAAATTTTTGTGACACCTTATTTTGATGGGGTAGTCATTTGATACTCATAAATGTAAGCAAAATATAATTCACAAATTTTGATTACTGCTGTATAATTATATCTTTAATAACACATATTTTCTCGAGAAAGAAATTTTTGTAAGCAGACAATCTTGCCTAATTACACAAAAATTAACTCATTTTGAATAAATGTGACTTACAGTACTATATATTTTCTTTTTACAATCAGTTAAAAGATTGTCTCACTAAAACTATTTAGATATATACTTGTTGAAAACTAGGAGCTATGGTTAAACATAGGAGTTATACATGCACATGAACTCCCCTGTTTTTAATTCCATGGTGTAAGACATCTAAAAATTCCTCAACTTCCAAATGCACTTGGCCAATGAAAGTTTCCATGTGTAAGCCAGATTCAAATTTCTCATAACCTAAAACTTGCCATTATTCAACAATTAAACCTTAAAGATTATAGCTGCTAAAAGAGCTTTTACTTGGAGTGTATTTGTGACAGCAGGAGGCAAGCTGCATTGAATGCTAGCACGAGTAATTGAATACCGTATAAGTGGAATACAGTTTAACTTCAATATCTCGAACAATGATATCTCGAATACCATGGATATGTGGAAGTGATTTGGAAGTCCCAACCCCTTATTCTTGAAGTATTTTACCCTGGATATCTCGAATCCTCAGATATCTTGAAGTTTTTTCTCGGTCCCATTGAGTCTGAGATAACGAGGTTTGACTTATTCAGCAAGACACAAATTTAGCAATTTATTCCTAACAGTTGGTATATATTTTTAGTGAGAAATAATTTTAGTGATTTTATGATGTCAATCAAGATATGTATAACAACCAATACAGAATAAATTGTTAGCGATGTTCAATTTTGCAATTTCAAAACCCCAAAATTGGATCCTTGCTAAAAATTCTGCTTATTAAGTATCTAATATTAAGTGGCTAGATAGATATCTAGTATTTAGTGGCTGGCTAAATATCAAATTTAAAGTGGCTAGATAGATATTTATTACTTAGTGGCTGGCTAAATATTGAATACAAAGTAGCTAGATAGATATATAGTACTTAGTGGCTGACAAAATACCTAGAAGGCTAGAACTAAGTGACTAAATTGATATTTAGTACTTAATGGCTGGCTAAATATCTAGAACTAAATGATTAGAAAATAAGTGGCTAGATATATTTCTGGTACTAAGTGATTGATTTAAAAATATCTAGTACTAAGTGGCTAGATATCTAGTACTTTGTGGCTGGTTAAATATTTAATGCTAATTAAGTGACTAAATAGATATCTAGTACTTAGTGGCTGGCTAAATATCTAGTATTAAGGGGCTAGATAGATATTTTGTACTCAGTAGCTGGCTAAATATCTAGAACTAAGTGGCTAGATAGATATCTGGTATCTAGCTGCTGGCTAAATATATAAAACCTAAGTGGCTAGAGAGATATCTAGTTCTTAGTGGCTGGCTAAATATCTAGTACTTAGTGGCTGGCTAAATATCTAGTACTCAGTGGCTTATTTAGCCACTATAATCTTAACCCAGCCTTGATCTTTCACCTACATATATGTACACCACAAGCAGAGTCTTAAACATGAATGCATCATCATATGTATCCCCAGAGTCAACATTTATTCAAGTCTGGCCAATATATTCAGAAGTCAGTAAAACTCAGTTATAGCAAAATTCTGGAGACCTGCGAATTTACTTTGCTATATCCTTAATTCGTTATATCCGTATAACGAATTCGTCAAAGTATGCTTAGCAAAATTGTTATATCATTTTTTTCCTTTAAGCATGACTACCAAATGTATTCAGGGAAGTATAGAATATCAAATTTGTCTTGGAGTTCAAAAGTTTTAGAATGAATTGAGTTTGAAATATAAATATTACTTAAAAATTATTGTCAATACAATATTTTAAAAATTGAGATCTTTGAAAATTCGCTTTAAAAGATATAGATTTCATTATATTTAACTTCTAGGGAACACAAAAGTAGTTTGTTACAACTGTAAATTTGCTATGTCTGAGTTCATTATCTCCATAAAATTTTACAAGGAATTGGTAAGAATTTTGCCAGGGATTGCAAAAAACTTTGCTATATCCATAAATTTGCTATATCTGTGTTTTACTAAATGAGTTTTACTGTAGCTACTTTGTGTCTCATTTGATCTGATGATCTGTGCCTGTCAACTCAACCCTATAAGGCTCTTCAGATCAAGTTACTGTTATAATAATACATACATAGTATATTTCAAACAGGACAAAACATTTCATTTTTCACTATACAGAAACTCACTTGTATATTCCTACCCACTGTAGAAGTGTTACTATTTCATTTCCTTCCAGTCCTTGTTGGATCATGTCTTGAAACTAAAAAAAAAAAAAAAAACAAATCCTATCTTGAAAAATCTTAACTTTCAAAATCAAAATTAAATACTCTAAGACATTTCAAAAGTGGGAATAAAAATTAGCTGCTATGAGTACAATGGTTTCTTTTCCAGTAACAAGAGGCCCATGGGCCAGTTACTTATCATTCACTTGAATCATAAAACAACTTTTTCCAACAAATGTCACATATTTTTTCTATCCAATCTACTCCTTTGTAAAATGTTGGATCTGTAACACAGCCAGATCCAGGTCCAAAGCCATTTCCCTTTCTTTACATAAAAAAAAGAATATGGAAATATGGTTTATTGATGAGTTGTAATGCTAAGTGTGAGAAAAAAATTAATTTTATTTATTAAAAAAGCATTACTTTTTTTTAATGCTTTATATATTGATTATACACGTTTTGAACGGAAAAAATGGGGAAGGGGGGGGGTTTAAATCTGTCACTGGTATTGGAAAATCATAATTATATATAATCATATGTGAACTCTCTCATACCTTTACTGTGAATAAATGTTTTACATGCTAAAATTAAGGAAATTAATATGTCACAAAGTTTATATTCTTAACATACATAACAAATACAAGGAGATTTGATTTATTGAAATGTTATAATGTACAGTTTCTATATTATTTTTTCCTATTCAATTTAATTAAAATTTAAATCATATGGAATTTCTAAGTCACAATCTTTTCAATAATGGTAAATTCACATCTTTCATCATAATTCCAGGTTAAAAATAATTTGCACAATCCACAACACACCTTAATGGCGATGCATAACCGAAATAGCTCAGTCATAGTCAATAAAAATCTTGTATATTTATAGTCATGATTTAGTATACTCTTGTTTCATATACAAATGACAAATATATCTAAGCTTATTGAAAGACAAATATATCTAAGCTTACTGATCCTTGTAAGTAGCATAGCTGACTTGTCCAGGTAAAATTGAAAAATATGAGAAAACAAATTTTATCAAGCCTGTCATGAAAATAAGTATGATGAAATTACTCTAAGGTACAGTCTGCAGTGTAATTTTCTTACAAGGAAAGCTGCTAGTATTGGGAGAATAGTTACTTTGGAAAAAGATATGATATTCAAAAATCAAACAAGTTTCATAATTGAAATCTAATTTGTAGTTTTTTAATTAATTTTTCATTGAATGGCTATCATTGCTCATGCTTTGACAAAACAGTAATATTAATTGTGGAGAAAAGAGTTGGTTACACTATAATACATGTACTTACATGATTAGACAAGGCTTTATGATATATCTGTACACACTTACATGGTTAGACGAGGCTTTATGATACATCTGTACATACTTACATGGTTAGACAAGGCTTTATATGATACATCTGTACATACTTACATGATTAGACAAGGTTTATGATACATCTGTACATACATGTACTTACATGATTAGACAAGGTTTATGATACATCCGTACATACATGTACTTACATGATTAGACAAGGTTTATGATACATCTGTACATACATGTACTTACATGATTAGACAAGGCTCTATGATATATCTGTACATACTTACATGATTAGACAAGGCTCTATGATATATCTGTACACACTTACATGGTTAGACGAGGCTTTATGATATATCTGTACATACTTACATGGTTAGACAAGGCTTTATGATACATCTGTACATACTTACATGATTAGACAAGGTTTATGATACATCTGTACATACATGTACTTACATGATTAGACAAGGCTCTATGATATATCTGTACATACTTACATGATTAGACAAGGCTTTATGATATATCTGTACACACTTACATGGTTAGACGAGGCTTTATGATACATCTGTACATACTTACATGGTTAGACAAGGCTTTATGATACATCTGAACATACTTCCTCACAATGTTGTATTCTGGTGGAAAAATAGGTGGCAGCATTTGCTGAAGAAAACAAAATCAAAGAAATGTTCTTATTGAAATCAGGATGTATAATTAGCAATATGATATCTTAAGTCTTACTATATCAAGCTGAAGTAAGCTCTCCAATATCCAAAATTCAACAAATTTTTAAAATCTCAGCCAGCATGTAAGCTTAAATCATTTCATCTATTTACAGAGAGGTCAAATAATACTTTTTATTTCATAGATGATTACCTTGACCTTAGACTTTCCAGCTAAGAGAGCTTTCACCTCTGACCCCATACACATGTAATTGGTAGCTAGAAGTCTAAGGAGTTTATGTGAGCCTCCTTAAAATATTCCTAGATGAAATTATCATCAACTGAGCATTATTTATAGGTTATTGGCTTAATATCAAGAAATAATATGACTGTCACACTCAATGTCTTTGTGCGGTAAAGTGCACAAAGCTTGCAAGAACCAATGTATTTCCCAATATCTAGTAAATGACGTTTCTTTTACATATTTTAATACTCATATATATTTTTTCTATTCATATAAATGGAATCTCTCTGATTTTTTTGTCATAAACATCCTTACATCATTAGTAACTGTTTGTTAGCTAGTACTACAGATATTTTTGACATCACACATTCATGTATGTGATGTCATTAAGGTATATAGGTCACATGTCAGCTTTTGGGAAAAGTTTTATCAGAACCTCTAATATCAAAATAACTGATAACAATTTAATTTTTTATAACATATTTGAATTAAACCACGCAACTTGTACAACATTCAATTAAAAAAAAATTGCATAAAATATCAGCTAGAAATAAGATTTATGAGGGAGCTCATAAGTATGGAGGGAGTGGTAGAAGGATATCAAGAGGAAAATTCTCAAAATCGACAGATTTGTTTTATTCAATATGTTAGAAATTTGGTAATTTGCATATTATGACCCATATACATGTACATGTATCTCAAAATTTATCAGTTTTTAAAATTACATGATACTATTTAAAGCCTGATCAGCTCTACATTCACAAAAAGCTTCATATAAGAAAATAATATGTTGAATGTTTGTGAAGTCAAGGTCAAAGGAAAGGTCAAGGTCAAAAAATGTTGATCCAGTTTGAAACTGAGCTAGACACAAAGTGAGATGGAAGGACAGAGGGGGAACATCACAAACACTATATGCCCCGGTCATATTAATGACGGGAAACCTACCTTCACCACTTTAAGATCTTCCAACATCAGTTGCCTGGTAACCTCAAGATGGCGAACGAGCCACATTTTGTTGATACTTCTATCTTCAAACTGATTACCTTCAATTCTGTGAATGAGAAATTTGTAATTAAAATATGTTTTTCTCATTTAAAAAAATATTATTATAGACTGCAGCAGAACTACAAACAATCGAAACAGTGCACATTTGAAACAGACTTCAATATATACTTCAAATCTTGCTCACCTGAGTATGCTATGGGGCTTGTCTGGTTTGATTAAAAGTATGTTTTGATTGATTGATTTCATGATGTTTAACATCCCTCTCATCATACAATCAATCAATCAAAACAGACTTTTAATCAAACCAGACAAGCCCCACAGCATACTCAGGTGAGCAAGATTTGATGTATATATTATATAAACTAAAACAGAAAATTATCAATCAATGCTGTAATTTGACTTTAATGTTAAATGATTCACCTTGAAGAAATAGATTCTTCCAAGATCCGGAAACATTTTTCCCTCCACTTCTTTGGACGACCAGGAGGAATAAATCCAGTCTGGGCTTTGCGCTTGAGGTAAAATTCATCAGTTCTGAAATGAAAATTTTGATTGGATCAATCACATTGATCTTATGCCAATTTGTCATGTTATTAGTCTATTTAATATGTAAATCTACTCTAGATAACTAGTACTGTATAGCTTTATGAAAACAATTTGTTCAGATTGATCTCCCTTTGATGAAATGCTCCATTGCATTCCAAAGGGAACCAGTCAACACATCACTGTATACTGATGTGGAAGTAAAAAAATTCCTAGAAACAAAGGGAACCATTTGATGCATCACTGTATACTGATGTAGAAGTGCAGAAAGTCCTAGAAACAAAGGGAACAAGTTGATGCATCACTGTATACTGATGTAGAAGTTGATGATTCTAAGCCAATTAGTATATGAAAATATTTAAATATAGCCATAAAATTTCAAAAGTAGGTCACAGTGACCAACTTTTAAGTTAACATACTTTGAGAGCCCAAGATGCATCAACTGACAAATCTTGAAGATTCTATGCCAATTAGTATCTGAAATATTTAAGTATAGCTATCAAATTCCAAATGTAGGTCAAGACGACCTTCTTTTCAGTTGACACACATTTGAGGACTCAAGATGCATGAACTGACAAGGTTTGATGATTTAACCCAATTAGTACCCAATATTCAAATATAAAGTTTCAGAAGTAGGAAACAGTGACCTACATTTCAGTTGATATACTCTAAGGAAGACTGACAAAGTTTGATGATTCTATGTCAATTAGTATCTGATACATGTATATTTAAATATAGTCATAAAATTCCAAAAGAAGGTCACTGTGACCTACTTTTTGGTTAAAATACTTTGAGGCCTTAGGATGCACCAACTGACAAGATTTGATGATCATAGGCTTAAAGTGTCCAAATATGCCTCTAAATCAATTTGAAATCCATTTGAAAATTGAATGCCTGCAAAATTTGAAAAAAGAAGGTCACAGTGAGTGTTACCTACTTTCTGATAAAATGTTTTGAGGCCCCAAGATGCATCACCTTACAATTTCTGGTGATTCTAAACCTCTCACTATCTGAAATAATGACCTTAAATGTTTTGAAAATGATCAGCTATAAAATTCAAAAAGTAGGTCATGGTGACCTATTTTTTAGTTGACACATTTTAAGGTGCCATAATGAATAAACTGACAAGTTTTGATGACTATAGGTTTCAGAATATGCAAGACATGCAACAAAATCAAACTGAAAATAAATGCATGCAAAATTCGACAAGAGACCTAAGGACCTTGATGTCACCCGAGTATAATAAAACAAAATTAAGTGATAGATGAAGCTATATTGCCCAAAAATTTCAAAAATCTGTTAAAAACACCTTTGTTTATTGTAACGTGCAAGACCCAAGTGAACTCCTTGGGATCGTACTGTACTTGGTTTAAGTCTTACTGGGATGTCTAAGATAATGAATGCAAAATATACAAATACAGTGGACAGTTGTCTAGTGTAAGGTATTCAATGTATACAGAATGATATCTTTTTGTAACTTGCCTTGTGCTACAATTAAGTACATAGAGACTTGGCTACAATGTGGCTATTTGCCACTTGTCACTAACTACAACATGTCCCCTAATCACTCTGACACTCCGTGATCACTTTTTCACTTTGATAAAGTATAAAACAACTTTATGCAGTCTCTTGCCAGCTGTCTTCATGACAGCTTTATGTTAACAACACAAGACGCACGACAACAGACAAAAACAGATAGCAAATAGGCACCTGAGTGACTCATGTGACCTAAAAAGTAGGACACTGTAACCTTCTTTTGAGTCTCAACTGACAAGATTTGATGATCCTAGTCCTTATGGTAAGCAAACTATCAAAGTTTTAACAAAACAATGCAAATAATCTTTGTCAACAATGTCAACTTTGAAGTGACCTTGAGACAATGCCCTTTGCCCTAGGGTAAAGCCTTGAACTATTACAATACTTAATCTACAACATGTCCTATTCCTTGTATGTAGGTTTGGTGATAATCTGCCCAGTGGATCTTGAGGAGGAGATTTTTAAACAACCAGCACTTTTGTTTTTATTTTCCTAATTATCTCTCGTTGTTTAAGGGTCACATCCCTAGTTTTACATGTAGTATAAAAGAGCCCTTGGGTCAAGGATACTCTGTGACAAGGACAAAAATCCATATTCTTAGAAGTTAACACACACCACACAAATGGTCATAGCATCAGCTCTTTGAGCCTTTGGCTCAGAAGAGCTAAAAATCTATCTAGTAGAATTACTTTTCTAAACCATGATTTGTTAAGCATCATGTTTTGACAAATTTTCAAGGCAATATCACAGAAAAAAACAAAACATCATTATTAACAGGAATGATAAAACTTTGTCACTTAAGACTAGCACCTAGAAATACAGGTATGATAAAAATTATCTGTGAACAAAACAAAAAAAAATGAAAAAAAAGTGTTTTGTGAAATGTAAAGAAGCATAATGTTACACCTTTTTTCAGCCACAATCTGAATGTTTGAAAACACTTAATACCATTAGATGAAGTCAGAGATTATGTGTTTGATATCATTCATGTTATTCAATCCATTTGACAGTTATCAAATTTTATTTGATATAATATGAATTTTAGTCATGCACCCACAAATATACGTCATACATGTATGTATTTGTCTCACACGTTTTTATGAAAGGTGTCAGTCTCCATTATGATCATATTTGTTCATGAAACAATTCTATAACACTTCGGTATTACTAAGCAAATTATAATCTTTTGATTTTAATTTTCCTTATTAATTATGCATTTTTTCTTTAAAGGAGCAGGGAAATAGATTTTTTTCTAAAATTTTCTAAATAATATCATGACTTACTACATATAGGGAAATTTTCACCCCTTTCACCCTACTCACAATTATATTGGTTGAATTTAAAACATGGTAAATTCAAAGAACACAGAATAATTTCTTAGAACTGCAACTGGGTGAATTTAAAACAGGCAAAATTGTTTGCAAGTGTGAAAGTACAAAAATAACACGGGGCGAAAATAACCCTATATACAGTATATGTTGCTAGAGCATTTCACACCAAAATATATTAAAAGCATGTTTAGGAACTTCTTTTACCTGGAAATTCTTAAAACTGCAAATTTCGGGATGTGTTAAATTGACACATATCCTTGCACTTTCACAAAGAAAACTTTAACCATAATATTTAAGAAAAGTAGAAATTTTGTTGTGTATTAATGAAAAATATGAAACTATTATCCAGAAAGTTCAGAGTAGAAATGTGAGAAAGCAAAACCAACTCACCAATTTGAACACATCCAATAAAACGTAAACACTAACAATAATAGAGCCCATGCCTTGTTTACAGACACAATGTTTGACATGATGTTATGAAGAATGTCATTGAATTCTTTGCATATTCATGTAAGTTCAAATCATTAAACTGAAGTTATTTTTGAAAAAAAATAGACGTTTAAAATTGTAAACTATGCAACTGTGTCCAGGCCCCTTTAATAACTTCATCACATGACCTACAAAGAGGAAATAAGGACACTGAACGTTAGTGGGGGTCAGTGAAGGGTGGGAGATTTACTTCAGATACACTATCCATAGCAGGTACAAGTAAGTGTACATACTTAGATGCATCATCCATGCAAGTTTGGTCTAGACAGGCTTAAAGTAACTTTGTAATGTATCTGCTCAAGAAAAAGAAAAAAACGAGAACATGTAGGTCAAATTCAGCATCTGTAGGTCAAATTCAGCATCTGAAGCAAGTCTGGTAGTGTTCATCATCCATGCAAATTTGGTCCAAATAAATTTTACAAGCATACACTCATCCACAAAATGTTGGTCAGATCCATCATTTGAAGCAAGTCTGGTAGTGTGCATCCATAGATTCAACATCCATGCAGCAAAGTCATTATAGAGCTTATAGCTTAATGTAATGAACAACCCCAGGCCATGATTTGAACAAACTGTAATTTGGACTATCTGAGGATGGTTGCATATTAATATGACTATCCAATTCTCTACTGTTCTCGAGAAGAAGATTTTTAAAGATGATTTCCTACATGTTTCCATGAAAAACTATAGCTTCACCTACCCCCCCCCCCCCCTTTTCCCTTTCTGGTGCTATGATCTAAACAAACTTGAGTCTACACTACCTGAGGATCCTTGCATATTAAAATGACTTATCATGGCCCTGCTGTTCTTCAGAAGATTTTAATTATTTTTCCCTACAGATCCATTTGTTAAAGTCTGATCCCCACATGTGGCCCACCCTACCCCTGAGGTCATGATTGAACAAATTTGAATTTAAAATTCCTTTAGCTTGCCAATGCCTGCTGTGTTGTCAGTTTTTAATGTTTCATACAAAAGACCTGGAACTTTCACTTCAAAATGCTGAGCTCTTGGTGAAATAACAGTTGCTACCTTTTTTTTCTTATCAACTTAGCTTTGTTGTGGTTGGGGTGCAAATCCATGACTTCTGCCTACCAAACAAGCACTATATGGACTGAGCTACCATGATGGTTGCTCTTCATTTGAACAAATTTGAATCTCCTTAACCTAAGAATGCTTTGTCTAATTTTAGTTGAAATTGGCCAAACTGTTCTAAGACAAGTTGAAATAAATGGAAAGACTAATAAACAGACAAATAAAAGTTGATCAAAAAAGCTTACTTGAGCTTAAAGCCCGGTGAGCTAAAACTAGTATTTTTCCGATAATTTCACTCATGAAATGTTAAAATGAATTTGATAACAATAAATCTGAAAATGCTGACATTAACCAAGCATCTGATTTTGAAACAATGCAATTCTCTATGTTTTCAAGTGTAACTAATTATTTTGTTAGCTGTGTATGTATGAATAATTGTATAGATGTCCCTCCCCCCCCCTCCCCCCCCCCAGCTCTGATTAAACTTTCTACCAATCTTATGATCCTTCATCCAGAGTAAAAGTCAGAAGAAACAAGATGTGTTTGTGAAACACTAATGCCCCTGTATGGCAGCTCAAGGCCACTTAGGCCATTTTTAAAATA